AAAAATGATGATTATAAATCCAAACCTGTTGTTACTATGGTTTTCTAGAAAGGCAGAATCAAATCATGAAGTAATCCATCCCCAACCACATTCTGCTGAGGGCTCCAAGTCACATGTAATGAATGAAGATAAATATTTAACCCAGGAGAAACTCATGGCCATCAGTCCCTTGAAATAACTTGCTGTTCTAGAAGGCCACACTGGCAAACCAGACATGAGCAATACTGCAGAGTCACTAGTCACACTCAGTAGGGTAAATATTGACATCTTACCTGCAGAAAGTAGAGACTCAATAAATGACAGYGTAGTTCTGAAAAATCAACCAAGASACTTAGATGCCTCTAACAAGCAAAAAGGTAAATGCAATATTTCTCAAGTAAAGAAAGAGGGTCTGCAGGGTAACACTAAGTCCAGTGCTCAGCCTGAAAGCCTGATTCCCATATTGTCCTCTGTCAATGGCAGTGGGGAAGAGAGTAAACCAGTGAGGCTGTTGGAGCTCCTAATCAAAGACCAAAGGCCAAAGAACAGGTTGAATTCATGTGAATATATTATAGAAAAACAGAGCAGAATCTACCCAGATTTACAGCCACACAGTTCTAGGTCTGAATATTCCCTGTCTCCATAGTGATGGCAGAAGAATACAGACTGTGCACAGTGAGGGAGAGCAAAGTCAACAGAGATCTCTTTGCATTCCAAGAGGCACCTTCTCAATTTTGACTTCTCATCCCACTGTTGGGAAAGTGTCTATCACATTGTCACAACAAAATGCTGAAAACCAAAGTAGAATGGTTACTGGGTCTGTGAATAGTTCAAGGAGCAGTGAGATGTCATTATCAAAGGACTATCCGTCATCAGTCAGAAAGAGGAGGTGGCTAAAGCAGACCCAAGAAGAAATATTCCTCTCAGGCCTTTCAGTGAGGAAAACTTCTCTGAGAGCAGCAGAAACTGCAGCAGGAAATCCAAACAGGGAAACTGCAGCAGGAAATCCAGTTCATACCTGCTGGACAGCAACATTACTCAGGGGAGGAAACTGATTGATAGTGGGTGAGCTAAGTTCTTCTACAAGGTGAACTGATAGGTCAGATAGGGACTTCAGGGAAGGAAAAAGTCATACAAATGAAATGAATGACTGCTACAATTGAGGACTAAGATCCTTAAACTGGCTTCTAAAGAGAACTGTGAAGTTGACCATAACCAAATTCAGTGTCAGATTTAAATTTCGTTGGAAATATTGGGACACATTGGTACTTCATGGAGAAGTTGCAGAAGAGACAGACAAACTCCTATTTAAAGGACTGCCTTCAGCTAGAATGCCAGATTCTGAAAAAAATCAGGATAATTGTTGAAATATTGAGAGTTAATATCATTAGCAGCCTGAAGACTCAGCTGTTAGAGTAGGTATGTGATCTTCTAGAAGAGGAGGATAAATTGAACACAGAGTTACATTTATGGGAGCAAGTGGGTAGAAAGTACCCAACTTATAGTAGGAAAGCTTGCCAGTTGAAATCTTAGAGAAAGTGAATTTTTGAGAATTTGTTTTAATCTGTCAAATCTGAAGGCCAATTTTCAAAGGTTTTTGGCTTTAAAGACAAACCATAACAGTCATTTAGAGGCCATTTACTATTCTTTTATATCTCTTTGGGCTTTTTGTTTTGTTTTGTTTTACGTTGGTACCAGGAATTGAACCTAGAGCACTTAACCACTGAGCCACATCTCCATTCCTTTTTATATTTTATTTAGAGACAGGGTCTCACTAAGTTGTTGGAGGCCGGCTTTGGACTTGTGATCCTCCTTGCCTCAGCATCCTAAGCTGCTGGGATCACAGTCATGTGCCACTGCACCCAGCTTCTTTGGGGTTTTCTTATTGGAAAAAAATTGGATACAACAGAGTTGTATCAAACCCATTGCCTCACACATGCTAGGCAAGTGCTCTGCCACTGAGCAACAACCCCAGCCCCAGCATTCTGTTCTTAACAAGATCTGCCCACAAGGGAAGTTTGTACCAGAGCCTAACTGGCGGTGTGTGTGTGTGTGTGTGTGTGTGTGTGTGTCCCCAACTCTAGGCACTTCTATCCTTCCTATCTTGCCTGGAAGTGATGGGAGGAAAAAAGAGCCTGAGAAGCACTGGTGAAAGTCACAGCCCAGGGGCACAGGCTTGCTAAAACATGGTCACAAGCTATAGAACACTCTCGCTCCCACATATCATACATACTTTTCTGGGAAATGTATGGTTAACATTTTGGTTACTGATATAGTTTCTTCAGTCATCTGTTTCTTTTGGGGCTGCTGCAATGGATTCCTGACATCCAGTCATAAGCATGCAAGTGGCAGTAGGCAGTGACATGAGTGTCTCTGACCAAACTGTTCACAGGACTCTCAGGTGTTTCCCCTGTTTGTGCAGACGTCCAGCCTATTTCTCTGGCATGTGGGAGGGGTGGAGATGCAGAAGAAGCGGAGAGTTCAGGGGGTACTGAGGAGAAGGGGGTGGAGGTGCTGCCGGCAGAGATAAGGTTCTATTTTGGAGCTGTGTGGCTTTGCATGTCAGCAGAGCATCCTGGGGGATGATCCACAGGCAGGAGGGGGAGGGCTGAGATTAAGTGGCAAATGGAAGATGAGAGGCTTCTCCAGATGCCTGGGGTGGYAGAGAGAGTGCCATGTATCCCAGAGGAAAGGGACAGTGAGGGCAGATTGTGATGACAGGGATGCATGGGCAGTGGAAGAGAGGCCAGCAAGAGGGGATCTCCTTACATCACCCACACTGCATGCATACATACACATGCATATACATGTGCAACCCCCTCTCCCCATGTGCACACTTGCACATGCCCAGCACAGATAGCAGGTACAAGGAGACTCTTTCCTACTGCAGGGGCTCCCTTGGTGCACTGCCTCTGGCTACCAGGGCAGGTCCCATGCTGATGGCTTTTAGATGAAGATGTACTTTACTACCCAGTGAGGAACCCCCAATTATAAACAGCTGAGTCTGGCAAACTCACTGGACCACAGCATCTATATAAAAGCTCCTCAACCTTCACAGGTCTAGAGATTCATGTCACTCCACTCATTCACAATTCATTTGCAGAGTGTGTGCTCTCCGCCAGGACAGAGCTGACAAATATGTTTGCCACCTTCAAAGTGCTCACAGGAAGTCATGGTGATCCAGGCAAGCCCTGGGAAGAATGGTGCCCAGCTTTGAGTCAGGAGATCCTTCCTGGATRAAGTGACTGTGGGCTGAGACCTGAAGCCATAGAGGCAGAGCCAGGTCTCCTCCCTCTAACCCCTTGCAGACAGARATTCTCCACTTGGCCAAACTATAGTCAGGCCCCTGATCATTTTTTTTAATTTTAGTTTTTAAAATTTGTTTTAATTAGTTATACATAAAAATATGGAATTCTTCATGAATTCGCATGTCATCCTTGCACAGAGGCCATGCTAATCTCTGTATTGTTCCAATTTTAGTATATATGCTGCCAAAGCAAGCACTCCTGATCCTTTTCTTAGGCTCTCTGGCACACTTCTGTTTCTCTAGTTTTTGCAAAGAACCTGCTAAGTTAGTTTAACCAGAGGCCCTTGTCTCCATAACTGATCAGATTCTTCATCCTGTTCCTTCCCCCCATGATGTCTGACCACATTGGCAAGAATTCTGGGAGGTTAGTGTCACTGAATTTCCCTATCCTGTTGTCTTCTCTTAGTCATTTTCAATCTACTGATTCCACATGCTCTTTGATTATAAATTCCACATGACCACACTGTATTTGGAGTTGATTCTAAAGTTTCTCCTCACTGCAAAATCCCATTACCATGGTCCTTACACCTATCATAATGGTCCTGAATAAAGTCTCCTTACCATGATTAATCAGTATTATTAAATAAGTTTTTTTTCTAAATAGGATCAAGGGGCCAGTCCCCAGCAGGGGATTCTTGTCACACAACATGGTAGCAGAGACTGGGTTGAGGGGGTTCACTGCAAGGTAAGGATGATCTTGGAGGGCCAACCTTGATGATCTGGCAAGAGTTGTTCCTGTGCCTCTGGCTGCCCTCCCATATATCTCAGCTGAATTCTTCCAACCTCAGTGCTTCCTGCCCTCTACTTTGGCCTGGCCCAAAGTAACTAGCCAGAGAGCTGGGTACCTGGGGTGCCACTAAACAGTATTTGGGGTATAGGGTTCTATACCCCAATGGTCAAAATCAAGAAAAGTGTCTCAGTTTCTGACTAATCTTAAAACTTTGTCAATGCTACTGTTTGTCTTCATCAGGATATTGGCTAAGTTGATGTACCACTTACCTATTGGTATAGTACAAGTTGTGCCAAATCTTACTGGCTCAAAACAGTAACAGTTTCTTATTTCTCAGGATGCTGTGGGCTGACCAGGCAGGTCTTTTTTCTTCCTTCCTAAGCTTGGATATGGCCATTTGAGGCTCAGGGTTCATCAAGGCCTCATTCCTTCATGTCCAGTCTTAGGTGGATGACCAAGGGCCAGGCTTCTCTCTCCATGTTATCTTTTATTCTGAATTTTGTCTCAGCCTGGTGACTTTGGGTTTCAAGAAATTGAGGGCAGCACTGCAAGATGGAAGTCAACATGCCATAGACCAGCAACAATTCAGGAGGTGGAGAAGTGGCCTCAGACTCATGATGGTAGAACCTTTGCACTAAATGATGTACTGAATTCTATCGTATTATCACTTCTGGGTGGTGTGCGGACATGACTGTGGCTTCCAGGACTCTGCCACCTGGAGAGGAGGAGATCATCAGGGGTAGTGGCCCTCCCTAGAAACATCTGCTCTTTAATACAGTGCTACTTGGCCCCCAGCCTGTGGATATACCAAGTGGTTCTGAACTAAAATCAGCCTACTCTGGGAGGGCCTCAGAAGAGGAGGCCCGAAGGTTGGGTAGGTGTTGTCAAAAGGTTGTGTAATTCAGACATCTTCATTTGAAGGCCATGGTTATGCAGGGGACACAGAAACTTCTAGGTGCAAGGATCTATGGGATATGTACAGCTAGTTTATGCTCCTAGAGAGGGAGCCCCACACAGCTGCCTTGTGCTCTGGGATCTAAACAAAGATCAGGACAAATTCAAACTTACCTCTCTGGGATGTGTATGACCCTAGACAGGTTGCTTAGCCATGCAGTGCCTCTATTTCCTATCTGAAGATGGGGATAAGTCACTCTGTATTGTTTAGGATTAGGTTCCACTATAAGTATAAAGACTCCCAACAGCAGCAGCTTCTATCAGATGGAGCTTGTTCTCTTTGTGTTAGGAGTTGAGGTGATGTGTGACATACCCTTGTGTCAGGGCCCAGGACGGCCCAGTTTGTAGCCCCTGCCCACAACTTCATGGCCCAAGGAGGCTGTGTACGAGCTGTATGCTAGGGTTTAATGGAGGTGCACATATCTGTCTCTTAAAGAGAACACTGTCACCACACGGGGTCACCCCTGCCACCAAAGGAGGCTGAAAGTGGAGGCTTTATTCTAGGGTCCTGAAAGAGGAAGGGCATCAGTTGGGGATGAGCTGATTGCCATGTGCATGGAGCAYCAGCCCTGATGAGTGTCAAGGGCAGAGAACTCTATGGCCATCAGATCCTATCAATATGCAGTCCCACCCTCCTTGACATATGAGGACACTAAGCTCCAGACAGTTTGGGAGCACTTATGTACCTACTGGGGGGGGGCGTGTCTGCTCCTTTACTTTAGGTACAGACTCACTCACAGCTGTGCCCGCTCTGCTAACTTTCAGTCCATAAAATTCCAGAAGTTTAGCTGCATGGGAAGAGACACACATGGACCTACTCCCCCATCTGTCCAGCATACCTGGACCATCTGCACTCCTGTGCACTGTGGTTAGAGCATGAGAAGGCAATTTCTCCTATTAACTGTGACTTGGGACCATTGACTGACCTTTTCCCATTCCTTCTTTGACTTCACTCTTCCCAGCCTCAGGCGACCACTGCAGACTTTCAACTTTTATGAGATTATCATTTAACTTTTTATTATTTTAATTTGTATTTTCCCTTCTGGCTACCTCTGCCTGAGGAGGAGTCTCAGCCTGTGGAGAGCGTCTGGATTGGAGAGTGGGTGGGCTGTGAGACAGCAGGCATCCATCAAGCCCTGACAGTGTGAGACTTTGAACAGCCTACGCCTGCTGGAGAAGCATGCAGGGTCACATATTCCTCATGCCAGGGCACACAGCTAAAGAGCCTGCGTTTAACCTTATCAGTGGTGTTAACTTGGATAAAGAAAGAATGTGCAGAGAAGGAGGATGTGTGGGTGCAGGGCAGGGCCTGAGATCCACCCTGAGGGCTAAAAGGAACTCAGGATAAGATCAGAAGATACAATATTAGCAGGGCTTTGACCACCACTGACCTGAGCCTCTGGGGGATCAGCCTATGCTCTGCACCCTAGCCAGCGTGGCTAGAGTTGTTCCTGGGGAAAGTCCCTCCCCYGCCCCCATGTCTTCCCCCAGCTTGCAGAGTCTCTGGAGTGATGGAACTTCAGGCCATGTTGGCCAGAAGATTAAAAACAAAATCTGCCAAACCAGAAAATCTTCCACAAAAGTAAATGGAAAAAAACAGTTAAATTATTGAATAAGCATTAAGTAGACTGTGATGCTCATTATTGGCAACTCTCTAAGAGGTTGCAAAGATGGACATCTTGCCCTTGTACATAGCCAGGTACAATCCATTCTGTCCACATTCTCAGGAGAAATGGGGAACTTGTCCTCAGGTAAGAGGTCTCCACAACACCACTGATCATATGCAGTGTACACTGAGTCCTCCTGGGCCATCTGGTTTGTTAATTGCTTTCATCCAAAGGAAAAAATAAACTCATATCTTAAGACAGGAAGTGGGTTTACAATTTCAGGCAGGCACCAGGCTGAACTTAGACTCCCACCCTCTCATAGAAACACCCTCTCATAGAAACTGGGAGATAACAATGTTATCTACCATGGTGATGACATTTCAGATGGGGCTCCCAGGTCCTTAATGAATCSTTCCTGAGTTGTAAAATTGGCAAGAAGCYTTTGGGCAGATTTACATAAAAAGGAGTTAACAAAGAACCTACAATTACAAGTTTTCTAAAGGAAATGCTCTAAGAAAGATAATAATATTGTATCTTCTCTTATTTGTTTTTAATTAATGCATGATAATTATGCAGATTCATGAAGGACTATGTGAGGTTTCTATACATGTATACATTGAATAATGACCAAATCAGGTTAAGCATATCTATCTCTTCAAATGTTTATCATTCCTTTGTTGTGAAAACCCTTAAAATCCTTTCATCCAGCTTTTTGAAGACATGCAGTGCATTATCAATATTTAAAATTTTTTYTCCAAAGCAAAGTCATGACTCACATGCAAATAGTGAACACCACCAAAGATTTTATTTGTTAATTCACTAGGGAAACAATAAAATATTACAACTCATTCAGGAAGAATGCAAAAAGCATCCATATGGATAGGCAGTCAGGAATGCTGAGGTGAATCTGCTTAACAGTTGCAAAATTGGCTTCTTTCACAGAGTAAAAGGGAAAATAAATGTTTCCACTGAACATTTATTTGCATGTCTGTGGACAAGAGTTATTGCCTTGCTATTAGTTTTCTACAACCTATAGAGTTATGAAATTGCTTAAAGATAAAGGTGCAGAGGACTCCATCCAATTAATAATGAGACACCTGTGGTGTTTTCATCCATTTCAAAGTCTATCACAATTTCACCTGTAGAGGCTTGGATTTTAAATTTATCCCTTACTTCATGAAAAACAAAACAAAAACAAAAACAACTTAGGATAGCATAAGGACAATTCCTTGATTTGCTCACCCTGTCTTCTCAGCATGCTTGGAGGGATGAACAGGGGCCACTGTCTGGATGGAAACACAAGCAGATTCATGAATTTCATGATCATTTGTAAGCAATAGAATCAGCTGTTCTTTTTTTTTAAACCAGGGATTGAACCCAGGGGCACTCAACCACTGAGCCACATCACCAGCACTTTTTATAGTTTATTTTTTTAAAATTAAATTTAATTAATTAATTTTTGGGGTACTAGGATTGAACTTCGGGGTACTCGATTACTGAGCCACATTCCAGCCCTATTTTGTATTTTATTTAGAGACAGGGTCTCACAGAGTTGCTTAGTGCCTTGCTTTTGCTGAGGCTGATTTGAACTCACGATTCTCTTGTCTCAGCCTCCCGAGCTGCTGGGATTACAGGCGTATGCCACCATGCCCCGCTATAGTTTATTTTGAGACAAGGTCTTACTAAGTTGCTAAGAGTCTTGCTAAGTTGCTAAGGCTGGCTTCAAACTCACCATCCTCTTCTCTCAGACTCCCAAACTGCTGGGATTACCGGCATGTGCCACCATGCCCTGCTAGAATCAGCTATTCTTGAAGCTGGGCTTGGAGGTGCATGCCTATGATCCCAGACTCAGGAGACTGAGCCAAGAGTATCTSAAGTTTGAGGTCAGCCTGGGCAACTTAAACATAGTTCAGTGGTAAAGCCCCTCTGTGTTCATCCCCCAGTATCACATGCACACATACAAAAATCCCACCTATGAGTACATCAAATCTCAAGACTCCACTTAGTAATAAAATTGCCAAATCCTGATTAACTGAACATCTCTTGAGGTGAAAATGCATTTTCCCCTGGGACTGCAGGAAGACAACATGGGTGGCTCAGCCTTCTCTTGATCACCTCCTCTCATCTCTCTAGCTACAGACACTGCAGCAGGGCATGGAGGGAGCTGAGGGGCACAAAGAGCTGGCTACTACTCAGCTCTGGTCTGACTAACTGTCATTGCCTCTCTATCTCTCCCTTAGGTGCTTTGAGGGACCCCTGCTGCCCCTTAGGTACCAATGATAGGAGKCACCTACTTCTCCAGCCACTGGTTTCTGAAATAAGGTAGGAGATAGGGACACTCAATTCTTTTTTTTTTTAATTTTATTGGTTCTTTTTAGTTAGACATGACAATAGGATCCATTTTGACATAATTATTAAGGCATGGAATATAGCTTCTTTTTTTATTGGTTGTTCAAAACATTACAAAGCTCTTGACATATCATATTTCATACATTAGATTCAAGTGGGTTATGAACTCCCATTTTTACCCCAAATACAGATTGCAGAATCACATCGGTTACACATCCACATTTTTATATAATGCCATATAGTAACTGTTGTATTCTGCTACCTTTCCTATCCCCTACTATCCCCCCTCCCCTCCCCTCCCCTCCCATCTTCTCTCTCTACCCCATCTACTGTAATTCATTTCTCTCCTTGTGGGACACTCAATTCTGTGAGATAAGTTTCCTCCCCATTCCCGTACTTTTTCACCGTACTTTGCATAAGGGCTCAGGAGACCTGAGGCCAATTTCTAGTATTATTTTGAATACCTCCAAGTGCTCTGGTCTGGGCTCTGGTGTCCATTTCCTGTCATGCCATAATTCTCACCTGTATTTCCCATGAGATTTGGGTTGTACTTTTGGATGGTTTCACATGGGACCCACCTACACCACTGTGCCAAGAGGGGAATGTACAGTGGGTCGGGGGGTGCTCTACAGTTGGGGCTGCTATCACTAGTTGGGTAGAAAGTTTGCTGAATGCCTAGAAACTCTTTGTTCTACACAACCTTGAGGATATGGGCAGTGCCTACTTTGAGGTTCGTTCATGGGCTTATGGAAGGAGGTACAAGTCCTCTTCTAGAAATTGGCCTTGAGCAAGGTGACCACTTTTCTGGGCCTCAGTGTACTCATCTATAAACTGCTCATGGTCATGGTTCATAATTCATTTGGCAGCATGGGGTGAAGTGAGTTGTGTGTGTGATGGTCATTGTCTTAGTGGGCCTGTATTAGTCCCTGAGACTCCTGTCTGGTCCCCACCCCCTCTGTCACAGATAAGCCARCATTACAGTTTTCATTCAGAAACAGAGTTTATTGTGGTACCCCAGGCCTTCCCCTTACTCCTCTTTTTCGTCCCCATGAGTGATGATGTAGCACAGGGACTTGTAGTCGATGTTGCCTGCCAGGTCCATGGGTGTCAGGGCAAACATCTGCTCTACCTGTGGAGGCAACAACTGGCAGAGATGTGGCTTAGGGGACCTGTGACCCTTTACCCTCAACCTGGGGCTGTTTTTGGGCCTCAAACTTTTTAACTCCAAGCCCCAAACGCCTGGTTATTTTCCTGTTGGTCATCATTGGGCAGAATAAGCAGTAGGCTCAAACGGAGGCAGAAGTCAAAAGGTGCACCTTGGTCACAGAGATGGTCCCAGCCTCCAATGGTCACTTGGTCTGCACAGTCTCCCTGCCTGGCATACTTCCACCCTCCAACCCCACATCTACCCCTACAGGTTTTGATAGAGATGGCACATCCTCTGGAAAGGCCCAGTTGCCCTCTCAGCCTATACTACACTGGTGCTGGGGGCAGTGGGTCAGGAGGCATCCCCAATGCCCTGCTGGGGAGGGCCCTGAGAAGTTCCTAGGGATAGGTACTAACAGGGTTGGGCAGGCTCACCTCAGCTGGAGAGAACTTGTCTGCCTGGGTCAGGAGGAGCTGCTTGAACCTGGGAAGTGGGGAGGATCTGAGCTCAGAGAAAGRGTGGCATAGCCCAGGAAAGAGCTGGTCACCCCTCAAAGAACACTGAAGGCCAAGGTTCAGGTGGCCCCCCACATAAGCGGCCCCACTGCCCCTTTCTGCTTCTGCATGTTGTCCCTCACTGTGGGTAGGGGAGTTGACACTTACTCATCCTTGTTCACTACCCCTTGGCCGCTGGGGTCAAACATACGGAAGGCACTCAGGATGGCTTCCTCGGGGTCTGTSCCTGGGAGACCAAGGCAGCCAGGTGAATACTCAGGTCCCCAGCTTCTCAAGCCCTATCCAGGAGGAGCCCAGAGTTGCATGGGGGGAGCTCTCCATGTTCCAGAAGAGGTGGGGGCATTCCCCCCTATGGAATGTTCCTTGGGGATCAGAGGGTCTGGGAATGATCACCCTCCTGAAGTGGGCAGGGCTGGCTAGGAGTTAGGATTTAGGAATGGATGTTTCCTGAACTCAAGTCAGCACTGGGCTGACCAGGGCCCAGGATGTGCAGAGGTAGGCTCCACATCCCCTGGGTGGGCCATGGCCAGGCAGAGTCCAGACAGGGTTCTGGCAGGGTCAGGTGGGTTTGGCAGGTTCAGACTCCATGTCTGGTCAAGGGAACCCAGAGCTGCCCCAGGCTCACCATTGAGTTTCTCCCCAAAGAGTGTGAGGAAGACCGTGAAGTTGATGGGACCCTTCCCCTCCTGTAGCATAGCATCCAGTTCCTCCTCTGGGACGCTCACCTTGCCTATGAGGGTGGGGATGATACAAACACAGGGACCCTGGTATCCCAGAGAAGGGCCAGTCTGCCCTTCCCCTTTTCCTGGCTTCTGGTGAAAAGGCAGGGAAAGAGAGGTGTAAGGAGATGGGAAGGAGAGAGAGAAGGGGGCAGGGAAACAGTTCTTTCTCTGAGCAGGGACCCTTGGGAAAGCAGGTGAGCAGGTGGGGGAGTAGTGGGTGGAAGGCAGAGGCACTCACCGAGCTGGGAGTAGGTCTCTCTCAGGTCTGACTTGCAGATAATGCCATCTCTGTTCTGGTCAATGCAGCTGAATGCCTGTGAGGAGGTAGAGAGTCCTGGGTGGTGTGTGGAGGACAATCAGGGGCCAGGGCCATAACACACAGAAAAGAGTGCKCATATGGGAAGGGGTAGGTTTTGGATGGAGTTGGGGTTTCCTGGGGGTGCGGCACTCACTTCCTTGAACTCCTGGATCTGGGCTTGTTCAAACATGGAAAAGACATTGGAAGATCCACGCTGAGTCTGCTTGGTGGCTGCAGCCTTTCCCCGGATCCCAGTCTTCCTGCTGGCCTACAATACTGTGGATGAGGGGGAGTCCTCTCCCCAGGTCCCCTAAATGTCCCTTTCTCATCATGCACAATCTAAGAGCAGTCCCAGGAGACTCAGGGTGAGGATCCTCTCTCCAGCCCTGGATACTACCTTTCAGGCTTCACACAGCCACAGAAGTCCCTGGTTCCGTCCCCTCCCAACCCTGGAGACTGCTGGTCTCTTTGTCCCCACCAGGCACTTACCATCTTCTCTGACGCGAATTGCTGCTCCCTCTTGCTGCCAGACCCCCTTTATGTCCCAGCCTTATCACCTGGCGGTCCAAATAAGGAGAGCAGCAGAGAACAGGCCCAAACTTGGCAGCCCCTGACTGGGCTAGAAGAGGATGAGGGCCCCAAGCAGATTCCAGTTACATTCCTGGTGACCTTCATGTCCACATGTAACATCTTGGGGTCCATCCATCTCATGTGACCACTCACTGTGTCTCCCCAGAGCAGAGTAGCTCAAAGCTTTCACCATTATAGGTATCAACTAAGGGTTCCTGTTGCCCCTTATCTGAGAATCTCTTCTGCAGGTCCAGTTTAGGCTCTGGCTAGGCCAGGCCAGTCCAGGCCCTATAGGCTTAGGGAGACAGTGTTTCTTTTTCTTTTTTTTTTTGTCCTAAGGACTGATCCCAGGGGTGCTTAATCACTGAGCCACATCCCCAGCTGTGTTTATTTTTTATTTTGAGTTAGGGTCTTACTAAATTGCTTAGGGCCTCACTAAGTTGCTAAGGCTGGCTTTGAACTTGTGATCCTCCTGCCTTGAACCTCCCTCCCTTAAGCCCCCAGGATTACAAGCATGCACCACTTTGCTTGGAAGGAGACAGTGTTTCTGAGGATGATCTCTGGTCTAAGACCTGGGATTCCCAGAGGTTTTGGTGAAGACCTTCAGCTCTGGCCTCTTGCCCCCTGACTAAGTGACAACAGGCATCTCTGAGTTGTCTATACCCTGTAGGACCATTTACTTGGCTTTGGGGCAATTCTGGGGGTGAAAAGTGTACTGGCTACTCTCCACCTCTGTGCCCCTGCTATTGTGGCCTGCTCTTCTAGAGTGTTCCCATATCTTTCATTTGGAATCTTGCTGTCCTACAAGCCTCAACTCAACTCCACCTCCTTTAGCACCTCTATGATGTCGTTAACTGGGAACTGTGGGCATGTTTCCCATTCACTTGATGGCTAACTTGTTTTTGTAGCTTCCTCCTGAACACCCAGCCTGTTCAACACCTAAACCCCAGAGGGCTTGCACATAGCAGGTCTATGTGATTCTGTTTTGCATGAAGTTTTTGAAGCATGGACCCTCCCCTGGCACCCCATGAAAGAGGGTCACAGGGCCTCTCAGGTGGTGTTGAACTGTGGACAGAGGGGCCCAGACGCCCTCTGCTGTTCAGAGCAGCAACCTCACCAGCTTCTTGAGGGACCAGGGGCATCTCAGAGGAGCTAGAGAAGCTGGACTGCTTGAGAAAAGCAGGAGTGKGTTCCCTGGCTGGGCCTGCTGGCAACACTCACCCCAACCCAGCTATGTAAGGCCCATATATATCAGTGGTGAGCTGAAAGAGGACAGGCACTCTCATCCATTAGACCCCAGGTTCCCTATTTAAATATTTCGTTAACACCTCTTTTACTGTCTGGAAGTAAAATTCATTTCATTTTTTTTTTTCAATTCAGATATGCAACTTAGCTTCACAAAAACATTTAAAAATATAATACCTCAAACTGTAATATGAAGAAGTTGAAAGCCATTTATATCAAAATATGTCCTAATGTGTGTATGCTCAAACAATCCCATTATCTGGATGTGAAGCAATCAAATGCTGTGTCAACTTACAGTACAGAACTTAAACTCAAATGAATGAAGAGGACCAGAGCAATTCCACATTAGAAGTACCAGAAAAATTTGAAGATCTCACAGAGGATGTGACTTTCCAAAATTACAACTTTGGGTCATGTTCTAAATGAGACAAAGCACAGTTGTTCCTAATTTGCTGGGTAGTTTCTTTTGTTGAGAAACGAATATGCAACACAATGACACAAATCTGTCTATATATGTAATTGTTCATTCTACCTAAAGATGGCGTTAGGTCCTACACTTGATATTTCACCTACCAAAGTCTCTATAGAGAGATCTTAGAATTGTGTGGTATCTTCTATCTCTGGCCTCTACTCAATGTTGCTACCTATTTGGCTCTGAGGGGACAGGACCTGAGAACAACTTGCAGCAGGGCCAGCCTATCCCTTCACTAGAACAATGACTTGCCTGGTACTCCTTCCATCCCACACTCATTGTGTGGCAGGCAGTGTTCTATGTCTCTGATCCCCCATATCATCCCATTCCCACAGCTTATCCTTCCGTTCTTCACATTCCCCTAGGTATAGCAGGCTGGAGGATAACGCATTCCAAGATATAGCCACATGACGATGTCTGTCTCTTCATATATTGTCCCCATGGTTCTTATGCACAGAGGTCAAATAAAGGCCATATTTAAACTTTTTAAAGTTTTTAATTAAAAACCCCACACAGTCCCAGGTTGGGCATGGAAAGGGTGGTGTGACATATGGGAGATATGATGAGGATGAGAGGGGGCTGAGATGGTCCCTTGGAGGTATGCTGAATGCTTCTGGGATTTCTTCCTGGACTAGTGCCCTTAGAGCCAAAGACACCTTCCTGCCTCTGGGAGCAGGCTGGAGGACTCCTGATGGTGCCTCCTCCATTTTGTGGGACCTTTGGGGCAGGATATTGGGGGCTCTGTCTCATCACCTGTAAGGGCCTATCTCAGGGATGTGTGTGTGTGTGTGTGTGTGTGTGTGTGTGTGTGTGTGAAGAAAAAGGCCTCTTGGGGTCACCTGCAGACTGGGAAGTCCTCTCCCCACAGCTGGGCCTCCTCCTATGGCTCTTTATCCTCTTGGGTCAGACACAAGAAACAGTGAGGCCTGGGTGACCAGCAGCCCACTGTCCCCTGTGGGCCCAGGTCTGATCTGGCCAAGCTGCTGGAGTTGCCTGCCCCCTGCCTCCCAAGCAGGGTGAGCTTCCACAGAAGCCAAGCCACAGCAGGTGCCCAAGGGCACTCYCATCTCAAAGCAGGAGCCCAGGCCAGGCTGGCAGCTCTGAGAAGCAGACAGTGTGGAAATGCAACAAAGTCCTGAGTGAGCAACTACATCTCAGTAGTTGATTTCAGCAGGAAGGGCCAGGGCCTTTGGAGTCTCTGTTTCTGCTCCTCTCAGCCCCTTACCCCAGGGCTCTGGGGTTCTCCCACCGACTTCTGGAGAAAAGGCCAAGAGGCCTGATGGGCTCCAGTGACCTCTCACCATCTTCCAGGATTAGCAGCAGGATAGGCAGCTTCCTGCCCTGGTGAGCTGGGAGCAACTACAGAGAGCGCAGTCCCCACGGAGTCCAGGTTCAGCCCTCGCAGCCTGGCTCTCATTGGCCCAGCATGCAGGCCTTCTTACAGGCCACTGCGGAAACCAAGGCCGCACCCCTGCCGCTACCCTCTTCACTCTCGATGAAAGTGATCTCACAGCTGGGCGTCAGCCTGCGTACACTGGYGTGGAACCGCTCTTTGAAGCTGAATCAGAGGGAAACAGGGCTGCCTTACAAACTCTTCCGGCCCTCCAGGTCTCCCCTCTGCTAACCCCCACCTCTCCTGGGCGCCCAGAACCCAGCCGACCCTCCATCCCATCCAGGCCTAGGGGGACAACCCGAAGAGGCTCATGAATTCCYGGGGGCCACGCCATTTGGATCTCCCTTTAGTAGGGAGAGGGGTGCCAGGGTGGGGAGGGTCACCTAGGGTGCAGGGGGGGGAATTACCTGGGGTGCAACTTGTACACAGAGCCATCCACACCCACGGTGATTCGCATCACGTCCTCGCTGCGGCTCTCGCGCATGCGGTTGATGACACCCGCCAGCCCTGCTGAGCACATGTGCGCTGCTCGCGTGGACACGCTCTCGCAGGCGCGGCGCACAATGTCGCAGTCAGTGGCAGAGGGCCTCAGCCCCAGTGTGCTCAGGATGTTATGGATCTGCTTGCGGTCACCTGAGTCGCTGCAGGGTGGGAGGTGGAAGGGTGGTTGTCCAGGTCTGGCTAGCAGAGCCATGGGCCCTCTCTGGAGAAGGGATGATCCTACCCACCTCACCCAGTCAAAGCGTTCGGGACTTGTGCTCTGGAAGGCAGCAGGCAAATTTTGCCAGAGACCAGTACTTCATTTTTACYGCTCCCTCTAAGCCCTGGGTCCGTGCTCTAATGTGGTGCAAAAACATGGGCGCACCTGGGAGCTGTAGTGTGAATGAAGTGTGAAGGTGTCTGTGGGAGTGAGGAACCATCTTGTGGGGGAAATGTGCACAGGGTRGCTACCTGGCCACTGCTCGGCTTGGGGCCAGAGAACACTCAGGATTCTGCTCCCAGTTCCTCCTCATCCTGGTTTATTAGGCCAGAGATTCTGCCTCGCCTAGGACCCTGTCCACAAGGGCTTCTGTGACCCTGCCCTTGCCCTCTTGACCTTTGCGGCTGGCCCCATCTCTTCCACGCACCTCTCCACCTGCGATACGAATCGGGTCTCGAAAGCGCCGCGAGTGCGTAGCTGCTCTGAGGCTTCCCCGTGGAACAGCAGGTTCTCATCCACCAGTTTGAGAAGCACAAGGCGCACCAACTCTCCCATGTATTTCCCGCCAATGAGCTTCTCATACCTGGACATGGGAAGAGGGTTACACCAGGTGACCTGCTGGGGACGTCTCCACCACWTCCCCCTTAGGGTTCTGAGGTAGCCATAGGGGTATCTTGGTTTCACCCSCTCCCAGTTGCTCCACATCCTGGGTTTCATGCTTCTCACTCGTTTATAAACAGGGGTTTTAGAAACTTTGGATACTAGGAATGTGCACGTTTTCAACACATCTGGCCCAGCTGTTGGCTCTGTGAGGGAAAGGGATGAAGTTGAAGCCTCTATTCAGTCCCTCTGAAACTTTCTTGGTGGCTTCCACACTTTTATCTTGAAATTTATTTAATACTACTCACCTAATAGAGGCCTATGATGAAGAGGAAGCTYATAAAGGAATTAGCATGGGTCTGGCACCTAGCAGGTGGCTAACAAGTGATAGCTATGATCTGTGTGGTGTTCCCAAGATGTATTCTGCTAATTTATAGCATTTCATAAAACACTAATATTCATTTTGTGAATGGAGACAAATATGTGCTTTAAGGAACTCTGGGTTAAACCTGGTAAACACTGCTGAGGGTCGGAGCCTTCTCTATGACCAAGGTCACCTGTCAGAACGGGGAAGTTTGGCCTTATCTAAGCAGTGCCTCTCCCTGTTCTGGGTTCACAGGGGCAAGGCATGACTGACTTGAAGAAGAGCCAGCTTACAGGGGAATGAGCAGGTTGTTTTCCCCTGTTTAAAAATAAGCCATTATCTGTGGTGGTGGGGCTCCCATGTACTGCTGCATTCCCAGCGAGAGCAGCCCAGAGATGGTCTGAGGGGTGTCCTTACAGCTGCTGACCGGGATTCGCAGAGCTCTCATCCACCATGCGGTCATATTCCAGCAGGAACTCATCCAGTTCACCTGAGTCCCCGAAGGCACCCCACTCAGTGTTGACACACATGCGGCCCTCATCCCCTTCTACCAGCTCCACATTCTGCATCTCCTCCATGTAGCAGGCATTGCAGCCTGTACCTACAGGGATGGGGACACATTAGGCTACACAAGCTGAGGAGAGAGGATTGGAAGATCTGGGCTGACGGTGTGACCCAGAGTAAATGGGCCAGTCTCTGGGCTGTCCTCTTCTCTAAAAGGGGACAGTAACACCTTCCCCACCCATTACCTGGCTGGTTGGATGGATGGAGAACAACTGTGTGCCAACGTATTCTGCCAACTAGAGGTGGCTGTGAGATTTATGGCTTTCTCTTGTCAAAGTGCCTTGTTTTTTGACATCCTGAACCCTGTTTGGGGGGCACCCCAAAGTGAGTAAGGCATAGTATGAACTCTTGGAACAGCCCAGAGATTACCACAGGCAAGAATGGCTGCAAGGTTTGTCATTTGCCATGTCCTAAGCAAAGTAAAAATGTGTGGTCCTTTGTTCATAAGTTATTAAGAGTTTTGATAGTGAAGGTAGAGTATCATACTGAGCTGACTATGTGGGCCACACAGCCCTGAAGGCAGCAGGGACAACTGCAGTGCTGGTCATCAGGGCTGCTTATAGAAATTAGAGCCCAGTGATACTTGGCCTTCCAGTTTTTGTTTTGTTTTGTTAGAACAGAAATCCAGACTTTGATGTTAATTCTCCAAATTTTAGACCTTGGAWATTATTGTAAACACGATTTTAAACACTGAGCAGTCACCAAGAGTGTGTGGGGGCAGATGTGAGTCATGGGCCACCAAAGAGCATCCTGGGAGGGGTATGCCTGGGCCAAACAGCTGTAGCTTGTTCTGGTGAGAATTCAGGTTGAGGTCTCTTGGAAACCCCAGGTAACTCCAAGGGAGAGGGTTGGTGGTGGTGGGGGCAAAGCTAGGGCCAACTAGAGCTCATGTGTAGATGTTGGGTTTAAAGACAACTTTCTCTATGAAAAGCAAGAGTAAAAGTAAGAGCTATGAATAGTGGCACACAGCTGTAATGCCAGCTACTTGGGAGGCTGAGGCAATAGGATTGAAAATTTGAGGGAGCCTGGGCAATTTAGCAAGATCCTGTCTCAAGACAATATCAAAAACGGCTGGGGAGGGGCTGGGGTTGTGGCTCAGCAGTAGAGCACTCACTTAGCACATGTGAGGCCCTGGGTTCGATCCTCAGCACCATATAAAATAAATAAATAAAATAAAGGTATTTATTGTGTCCAACTACAGCTGAAAAATAAATTTAAAAAAAAGGGTTGGGGATATAGTTCAGTGGTAGAGTGCTGGTAGCATATATAGGACCTGGGGTTCAATCTCCCAGTACTAGGGGTGAAAATAAAGGTAGGAAACAAGACGAGAGACAAAGTGAGGTCAGCCTGGAGCTTAAGAGATATGTACATAAATGTTTATGATGTTTATATGTGTATATATATATATATATATATAATATTTTTTTGGGAAATATAATTATAGATGGGAACCTACCAATACAAATACATTATTTCTCAGAGCTGGTTCTGAAGGGCCCTTAGAAGCAAATAACTTTTTTTTTCCCCTCAAGGCCAAGGACCAAACTCAGGGCCTTATSCATGCTAGGCAAGTGCTCTACCACTGAGCTAAATCCCCAAATTCATAAATAACTTTTAACATGGACTTTCTGGGTAACCAGGGCTCAGAAAGTATAGAAAAACACCCCCACATCTGTGTGCACAGCAGGTATCTGGTCTGACTGRATTGTTACTCAGGGAATGCTAGCTCCTTCTAAGAATACAATCTTCTGGGAAATTCTGGAGATTATTGTGGAGGACCTGGATGGGAGGGTAGGGTTGCAGCTTCCTTTCCAGATGCCTGCTTTGCTCCAGGTTGGGGCAGGGTGGGATCTAGGGGCAGAGGTAGTGAGTTAGAGGAGGAGCCTGGGCAGGACAGGCCCATAGGAAGACCTTGCAGGAAGGGATGTCACTACTTTTGTTTATCCTCTTCCAATTGGACAAATCTGTCAGTGTGGTAAATTTGCCAGATAAAGGATTTTTTTGTTTTGTTTTTTTTTTGTCTTTTTTTTTTTTTTTTTGAGAGAGAGAGAGAGAGAGAGAGAGAGAATTTTTTGATATTTATTTTTTATTTTTCGGCGGACACAACATCTTTGTTTTTATGTGGTGCTGAGGATCAAACTCAGGCCGCACGAATGCCAGGCGAGCGTGCTACCGCTTGAGCCACAACCCCAGCCCTGGATAAAGGGTTTTAATTACATCTGATGGGCTGAGCAAGTGTGCAGCTGGTGGACCATCTGATACCATGATGCTACAAAATGCTTTCTACCAGCATGTAGAGCCAACACCACATATTCCAAGACCACTTAGCTCTAGCCCTAGGCACTGCACTGACTGAAACCAGTTATTCATGCAGAGCCCCTGCCCATTTTGGAAGGGCCAGAAGTGCAAGGAGCCCTTACCTACAATCATGCCGACCTCACACTGGCGGTCTTCATAATAGCAGGAGATCATTGTGGCCACAGTGTCATTCACCATTGCCACCACATCCATCTCAAAGTCCTGCCAAGAAGCACAGATGGGGCTGCAGTGATAGGGCTGGGGAGAGGGTCCACTGGTGCAGTGAGGAGGGGCCCAGGGCCTCCCTCAACTGGCAGATGAAGGTGTTCTCACCCCTCTCCTCTTGATGGCATCTCGCAGAAGCCCGACAATGTTGTTTCCTTCTGCTCCAGAGGCCTTGAAGCCCTTGGTCCAGTTGAGAAGGATGCCCTGTGGGGAGAGGAAGGTCTTGTGGTTGCTGGTGTTAGACAGAGAACCATGGCCTTAAACTAGTTCCTTTTCAGGTCACAGGGACATGTATCTCACTTTACAGTTGAGGAAACAAGTTTTCAGTATCCACACAGCTTTGATAAATGTTGGAAACAATTTTCCATAAATAYCTCACATTTCTGCAGGGCTAGGTCCCAGCCAATTTAAGAATGTGATGTGTATTTTTTTGTATGTGGTGTCAGGAATTGAACCCAGGACCTCGAGCATACTAGATAAGCCCTCTACCACTGAGCTACACCCCCAGCCCAAGAATGTTTGTACAGTATACCCTAGAGTAAAGATAGGTCCCAAGGGGAGCAACTGTATAAGATCAGAGTTCCTTTCCTGTAGCAGAAGAAGTACCACCTGGCCCTTTCTATGTCTCTAAGGGAGCTGGGGGCTTGAAAAACCATGTGAGATGTTGCTCCAGCTGTTGCTTTTGCCTTGAGCTATGACCTTGCTTTGTTTCAGACCCAGAGGCCTCATGTTTTATGTATGTGTATATATAGAGAGACATACATATATAAAATTTATGTGTCATGTATGTATTATATGTGGATATATAGATAATGTGTGTGTGTGTGTGTGTGTGTGTGTGTGTGTGTGTGTGTTTGGTCATAACTGGCAGGCTAGCTTGTGAGTTGCAGGTGAGGTAAAAATCCCAGATCCTTCACATTTTTGACTCATCCAGAAGTGATGATGTGTTGGGCTGGGGTTGTGGCTCAATGGTAGAGCACTTGCCTTGTACACGTGAGGCACTGGGTTCAATTCTCAGCATCACATAAAATAAATAAAGGTATTGTATTTATCTACAACTAAAAAATGTATACATAAGAAGTGATGAGGTTTCATGGTGGTCTGTGGTGAGCTGCTTAACCTCAGTTTCTTCTCCTCATTTGTAGCAGGGGGGATTGTAGCACATGCCTCAGGATTGTAGGCAGGCTTTGGCACATAGTAAGAATCATCTGAAATTATTCTTATTTTCCAAAGTTTCACTGACAGTAAATTAGGGGGCCACAATTTGAATCTATATTTTTCTCCCTGCTGAGTTTGGATTCTTTCCCAGCACAGGATGGGGTGCTGCATATGAAGGCAGCAGGGGCGGAGTTCCTCTGGGGTACATATCCATCCATTTCATTATCCCTCCCCTCTACCTGGCCCACCTTGTCAATGTCTTCGTGCCTCACAGGGAAGGAGAAAGTGAAGCCCAGGGGTAGTTTCTTGTGCTTCATTTGATGCTTGTCCAGGAAGTCGGAGATGCACTCAGAGATATAGTCAAAGAGCTGGGAGATGCACCAAAATGGTCATTGGGTTACCATYCTGGGCCACCTGGCAGCCCTTCCCCAGGACTTTGTGCCAAGGTGTTCCTCAGGGGATGCTAAGCAATCAGTCCCTTCTAATGACCACCAGGCCTGTCTACAGTTCATCTCTTACTGTTTGTCAGAACTCAAGCCCTGCACCTCCCTGGATGCAGAGCTCTGTTTATAGCAGCTCCTGAGGCTGGTGCCCAGTTTAGCTGTGCTGTCACCTGCCTCCCCAGCACCAAGGCTTTGCTAACTGTCCTGTGAGACTCTTGGTGCTACTCCCAGGTATCCTTGCTGCCCTATACCTGCAAAAGCTTCAAATCCCCTCAAAAGGCCTATCTATAGAATGGGGCATTTCCGAGTACTCTGCAGATGGACCAAGCTCCCTGCTGAGCACCAGAATCCAGGGAGATGCCCATACCATTCCTGCTATCCATTTCCATGGATAGAGAGCAAATTTCAGGTGGATGAGGGCCAGGCAGTTTGGGGCAATCTCCTGCCTTAGAACCCTCCCTCTGGGAACTGGCCTCGCCCCTGGTCATGTCTAGGGACTCTGGCTTTGCCCCTCCCCCTCAGGGTTTATTCACTTCTATGCTCCCCCTCTAGTCTTCMCCATGGTGGAGGGCCTTGCTGCCTGGGCAAACATTGTGGTTGTTGTCACCCAATTTGGCATGCCTCTGGTGGAAGGCAATGGGAAGGGTAGGCTGCACAGTTGCAGGAGGTCAGACAGTCCTCACMCTTTGACTTTTCTTCTGGGACAAGGTCATATCAGCTAAGAGTTCTGCCCCTAACCTCAGTTTAGCCAGTTCTGTCTCCAACACTGGCCTGACWGTGACCATGAGACTTGAACACATTGGCCATGCCTAGTGGCTGTCTACCGAGGCCTCTAAGCGGCCTTGCTGTGCCTCTGAGGCTGACTGGACCTCTTGACTTCAGTTTCCCCTGTCCCTGGTGGGTGGGTGAGCTCTTTTTTCCAGGACTGGTGACTCCCTAAGGTTTTGAACTGTCTTGACCCCACCTCTTATCCCCAAGCTGCTCACCATCTCTGCAGTGCCCGTCATGGCGTCCTCAGGGATGGAGTACATCTGATGTTTGGTCTTCACACTCCACTGCCCTGCCTCACCCTCCCCCACCTTCACCAGCATCACCCTGAAGTTGGTGCCGCCCAGGTCCAGGGAAAGGAAGTCTCCAACTTCTGCAGGCAGAGGGAGATATGCTCAGCCTTGTGGTACCACCTGTCAAACCTGGGTTGGGTGGGACCTGGGCAAATGACCTCAGAGCCAGAGAGTGGAGGAGGGCAGGAACAAGGGTCCCAGGGGAGTTGGACATGGAGCATGGCCCAGACATTGGGGATATGCCAGAGCAAGCTGTGGGAGATGTCAAAGGTAAACTAAGGAAATGTCAAGGGGAACTGCTCTTTTAGATGGAGACACCCAGAACCCAGGGAACCACTGAGGACCTAGTGTAATGGCCTAGTCTCAGGACTGGGTTGGGATCTCCCAAGTGACCCTGGAGAGAATTCATTCATTGTGAGATTTTTAAATAGCCAGTTTTGCTAAGGCCCATCAGCTCCAGAGATGAACCTTTGGAGTAAATGGTAAGAACTGGCCCAGTGAGGTGGAGACATTATCGCTTGCCCAGGGAGTCCTGTCTGGGGACAGCTGAGCCTCTAGAAGTCCTGGCCAACAGCTGGCTCAGGTGTGGGGCCATCCCTGTGGTACCTGAGCCTTCTGGGGTGGAACGCACGTAGGTGGGCAGCATCTTCACGCTGGCCTCTTCGTGGGTCTCCAGCCTCAGGCCACGGTCCATCTCCTTCTGCATCCGTCTCATCACCTTCTTCAGGTCTTCCTCCTGCAGTTGGAACTCTGCCAGGATCTGCTCCACCTGCACAGGGAGGGAATGGGAGTAGCCAGGTGGACTTGTCACTAGAGATCTCCACACATCAAGGATCTCTTTTTATCCTCTGACCCTGGGTCTAGGAAGATYCATTGTTATAGTTTGGATCTCAATGTTCCTTAACAGCTTATGGGTTGAAGGTTTGGTCCCCCAGCTGGTGGCACTATGGGGTGGGGCAGGGTGGAAACTTCAGAAGGTGGGGCCTAGTTGGAGGAAGTAGGTCACTGAGGGTAGGCTCTGGAGGGTATATTTTGTCCCTGGACCCTTCGTGCCTCCTCTCTGCTTCCTGTTCACCATTAAGTGAGCAATCTCCTCTGATAAATGCTCCTGCCATCATAATATTCTGCCTTGCCTTAGGCCCAAAGCAATGGAGCCAACTGACCATGAAACCTCTCAAACCAAGAACCAAAATAAAATTTTCCTCTTTTTAAGTTGTTTATCTCAGGTATTTTATTATCAWGATGAAAGCTAACATACCCATCATTTCAAACTACCACAGTTAAATTTAAAGAGTTCCAAAACCAGCCCTTCAATAATTAGCCTGCAGTAGCTGGCAGGGAGCAGGGTGTCCTTTGTCCCTGAGGCTTTCCTTGTGGCACAATGTCTTGTAGAATCTCCTTTTTTCTTTCCATATTGGTGAAGGGAAGGGAGAAGGTGCTAGCTGCAGAGTTAGTGAGACAGGGCTTCAGCCTGATTGGGGGAAAGGCAGTGGTATGATAATGTAAAGACCAGGTTATTCTACTTCTAGGGCTTTGTAAAATGTGCCAGCTGGCATCAGCATACACAGGGATAGCCAAGGCAAAGTTACTAGGGATGGGCTGTATGCCCATCAGGGGTCTGGTTAGCAAAACACGACCATCCATGGTATGAAGACTATAAGTGCAGAGGGAGGAGGGTCTCCCTTGGCCAATTACAAAGATATTTTCATTCCAAAAAGGAAAGATTCTCTGATAAAAGCCACTCTTAATGAGATCCACTCTTTTTAAGAATTTTCACTCTTTTTGTCTTTCACATAAGTTCAGAAGGTTGGAGATACTCTGGATTACAGCCAAGAAAAAATACAGCCACTTGCCCCTTCTTCAGTTTCTAGAACTGAGATTTATTTTTTTTTCTCAGATGGGCAGAGTAGCACATTAAGTCATGATTAGGCTAAGCGAAGCACAGAAATTCTTTCTCTTTTTGTTGGCGATTGATCATGTGACTCATTTCTGGTCAATGACAGGTGAAGGGAAACCTGATTTTAGCAGGAGGGCAAACTTCAGTGTCCCTCTAAATTTGTGACTGCAACTATATAAGAATGACTGGCAACCACGAGGASACGGGGCGCAGGGAATAAGGGAAGAAAGATTGATGCTATGGACCCACCCAACTCCACATGCTGATTATCAGTCAGATTTTTGGTTTCCTATAATTCAAAACATTCCTATTGAATACAGATCCTTAATTAAGAATCACTTTTCTTAAAGAGGCTCCACACTAAAAATTTAAACTCAGGGAAGATCAGAAAGGAATCGGACTGACAAGGGCTCTGACCAAAAAAGGAATCAAWTACCTATGTGGGCTGAATAGGTAGCACTCTTCCACTTTGGGCATGAGTTGGGAGTGTAGCCCCCAAACCCCAAATCCCCCATTGGCATTTTGAGGCATGTCCCTGGAGATATTCTCAGCATGCTGGAACAATCCAGGTTATGTTCAAAGTCCCAAAGTTACATCCTTCCCCTCTTCTTTCTCTCTTACACTTGCCAGGAACAACCAGTAGAAATGTACTTAACATTTGCTGAATCCTTCCAACATGCTAGGTCCTGAGCCGAGTGCTTTCACAACTACCTCACAACCTTATTACATCCGCATCAGGATTGAGGAGCCAGCGTCTGCCTGTCCTCTAGATGCAGAAAAGCTTACAGAAGTCATGTGTATAGTCACAGGCCTGGGGCCAGTGCCTGAAGCCACATGCAGGCATGGTTGGCAGGAAGTCCTTGCTGGCTTGCCAGGCTTTTCCTCCAAGACACAATTGTTCAGAGGGACCTGATTATAAGACATTTGTGAAGCTCTTACATGATGCTGGTCTTGTAAGGGTCTAATCCCTGGGCCCCTCTGGGCTCCATCCTTGCTCCTCTACCTAAAATCCCATATTGTGCCTGGTAACCTGGACTCTGGTCTTTAGCCCAAGGCTCTTGATGAGAAGAGTCAATACTCAGGCTGAGGTCTTGCAGGAAGTTTGTGTCTTGGGACTGGGCCCATGGTGGCTGGTTGGAATGTGGCTATACTATCAGACAAAGGATCTGAGTGATCCCTGTCTTGCAGGTCTGAAGGGAGAACTTGCCCAGCCCTTGAGGGTCTCAGTGAGAATGTGATAAATGGTGGCTGCTGTTTCTGTCATCACAGGCACTGGGGCTAGCAGGGCCCAAAGGGTGCAGGGAAGCCAGTGTCTTTACCTCTCTTTACCCAGGTGGTAGAGGGCCCTGTCACTGGCCCTGCCTCTGCCAGCTTCTAGGCCAGAAAGGATGCCTCTGAGGAATCCCAGGCATCACATGATTTCAAACTGATACCACCCGTCCAGAGGACAATTTGGAATTTCTATCAAAATTTAATTTTGATCTAGCAGCTTCTCTCCTAAGAATCCATTGTGCAGAATCCTGAAAGCATTTTGTAAGAAGCACATGGGGGTGCGGCCTGCTGTAACAGAATACCTTACATGACCCCGTAAGGGATCTTACATCAACCTAGGACACCTACTGGACCTTCTGCTGGCCTTTACAGAAAAGAAGGCAGACAGTATGTCTGGGTATCAGTGAGGAAGTGAGATGGGACATTTGGCAGCAGCCTATCCCATTCTACACAATAAAGTTGCATCTGGTCTGTGGGTCTGATTTTCCCTATATAGTATTATAAAAAACTTAAATTTGCTGTCAATAATTAAAATCTATTTAAATAGAGATAGAGAAAAAATATGGATTTCTATTAAAATAGGTTTGCATTCTCATTGGGGTTCCAATAAGGTGTGTTTAGCTAGTCCAAGTTGCCAGGTAACAGGACATAAAACAGGTCTGAGCTCTGTCTAAACCAAGTGCTGCAGATTCTCTCATCCTCATTTACACCACATGGGCTGTGGAAACCCTAAACACACACACACACACACACACACACACACACACACACACACAGAGACATACTTATGAACATTCCCCAACCTTTGGGATAGGTTGGTAGGCAGGTGCTAGAAGGTTCCGAGCTTACAGCCACCTGGGAGCTCAGCTTTTGCTGTGGGGAGCTCCCTGCAAAGGCAAGCCTCATTTTTGGAGGGTAAAAGTTCCTTCCTCGGGGTACATCAGACCTGCAGATCCCTATACTCCTTGCAACAGGTCTGTGCAGCCCAGAGAAGGGAGCTCCAACCAGGCATGACCTCACAATCTCAAGGCTGTGTGCATAGGAAGGGAAAAATGAGTATCATATCATGAGCTGAGGTCTGCCTCAGAGATTCTCTGGGAAGTTCCCAGGAGCAGGGACTGTGGGCCAGGCCCACTGTGACATTCCTGGGTTTCAACTTCATTCCTATAATTTCCCTGACACAGGTACTTTTATTATTCTCATTTSTCACAAATAAGGGAACCAAACACACACTTCCCCAAACCCACAGAGGCAAGGCGTAAGCTGGGGTGTGAACCCAGGCAACAATCTGAGCCTGCCCCTGAACTCCTCTGGCCTTCAGACCTTCCATGAGCCCAGCTGGGGAGCTACAAGTGTCTCTCTGGTGTGTCAAGCTTACAAGACTTTCCTGAGCAGGATAGGAAATGAAGTTGCTGCCTAGGGAGTTTGAGGCACTTCCTYAGCTCCTCAGGTATATGTATTCCGGAGAGAAAAGCACAGACAGTGCCTGGCCCTGCCATAGCAACCTTGGGGAGGCAGCCCCTGTTAACTCACAAGTCCTCTTGCTAACCTTGCCCAAGAGGTCACAGGATATGTAATGGGGATCCACAATCACAACCAAACACAGGGCTTTTCCCACCYGAGGGCTTCCCCCATTCCCTGAAGGGTATAAACCATAAACCTAGTGCTGTCTGTGGTGTGGCATGTGGAGYAGGAGCTGAAAGTAGATAAACCATAGGAAATAATCATGCCATACTGAGGGTGGGTGGTGGGCAGTTGCTATTTCCTGGGAGGCAGGTGGGTGGTGGAGGGACCTGCCCTGAGGAAAGAAAGGAGTGACCTTGAAGACTGTGACAGGTAGGGGGTTTGGGAGTGAGAGGCCTGAATGCTCCTGGATGCAGAGTGGAGGCATCTTGAGGCAAGATGGAAGTGGGGGCATCAGACTTTCCTAACAATCTGAGTGCAGAGACAGTGGGCAGAGGGTGGAGAGATGGCAAGAGTCTACAGAAAAAAATATATCTACAGACAGTTTGAGGAATGGAGTAAGAAGAAGAGAAGCATCTGAGAGGACCCTATGGGGTGGCCTGAGCAGCAAGAAGGAGAGGCTTCACTGGGGTAGGTCAGATGGGGGAATGAGGACTTGGATTAAATTCACTATCAGATCTGCCCACCAAGGGCACATTTGTCTCAAGTATAGCTGGCCGTGTAAAATCAGGGTTCAGGGAAATGTCTGGCTGGAGATAGACAGTATGGAGAAATCCTTAAGGTCACAGGCCTGGATGAGGTCACCAGAGTATCCAGGTTGAACAGCAAACTGGGAAGGGCAGAAGACTGGGCAGGATGCAGTGAGCAGGCTTGAGATCCCACCCAAGAGTGCARTACAAAGCAAGACACCAGAGAGCAGTGCATTTGACTAATGAGGAGATTCAGGATACCCTGTGGAGGTCTCCATCCTAGCAYAGGATGGGTGGCTCAGAGGGGACTGCAAGACCCAAAGGATCCTTTCAGGAACCAGTGCAACCCCTGGGAAAGCACTGCAGCCTCTGGGTATCAGAGCCAATCCTAGTACCATGTTGTCCAGCCACAGTAGTGTGTGAYCCTGGACTAGCTGCCCAGATACTTCCGAGGAAGAAAATCACAATCCACCACTCATAGAACTGCCTTAAAGAGCCCCTAAAAGCCAAATAGTACTGGATAAAACCTGAGACCAGGCACCATCAGTCCCAGGAGTAAATTGCCTGAGAGATGACAATGGTAGTCCCAGTAAGGAGGGGTTAATAGTGAGATGGGTCATATCTAAGACCCCGAGAGGCCCACATGCCTTCTTTAAGTGGTGCAGTACCTGCTTTCCTTGTCCCCAATATGAATCCAAAAAAAACCCAAGGGGGCTACTCTTTCAATCCAAGATCCCTAGGATCTGAGTGGCCCTTACCAGGGTCAAGGCTGTCTGGGTCAGGCTCCTCATGGACTCCATTGCATCTCTCCAAGGGCACAGGAAGGAGGTGTTTTTGGAAGGTGGAGATGCTTCTGCTTGCTGAGGCCTGGGACGAAGCTGTAGCTGTGGCATCTGAGGCCACCTGTCACAGGTGAAGGCTGCCTGGCCAAGTGTTGCCCAAGACAGGCAACCAAGGGCTTCTGCACTAAAAGACCCAGCGGGAAGTTGCTGAAATACTCTGCCCACTGTCACGGGGTCAGGGGCAGGGCCAGAAGGACAGAGGAGGCCCATGTGGGGTCAGGGTCAATAAGAATTTTAGGGACATGGCTCCAGGGCAGGATGGYGTGCCCTCTGAGCACTGGTCAGGATTGCTGCCAAGAGAGTGGTGATTAGTCAGAGCCAGTTTATCCACCCTACACTCCTTGGACTTATGAGGGAAGAACATCACTGGGCTGACTTGGGGGACAGGAGGAACAGACAGGTAGGGGTGCCAAGGGGCCTGGATTGTGCCAGTGAGGGTCTGGACTTGATCTTGGAGGCAATGGTGATTCTCATGGATTTTCATCTATAGAGAGGTCTGATGTGCTTTTCATATAATCTGGGGTTCCTGAATGGTGTTTGAGTAGTAGGAAGGCCAAAGCTTTTGTGGGAAGGACCCAGCTTAGACCATGGCGGAGTGTACAAGTCGGCATTGGAGGGTCTAGGGGCTGAGATGCTCAGTGCAGTTTATGGGATTTCAGGGCATCGTATCCTTCTGTTCCATTAGGTACAAAGCCTATCTGGCCACGGAATTAGCTATAACCTGATGTACACATGAGCAGAAACAGGTATGGTTCCCCAGGGCTACCCTGACATGTCCCCCACATAAAAAATATGCATTTTTTACTCTTCAACAGTAAATCATAGACTCCCCTCAAAATACTCAGAACAACAATAATAAAAAAGAACAAAGTGGGGAGGACATTAGATTTTGTGACTGCAAAGTTCAGACCCAGGATTAACTTTGGGTGCATCCATGGGGTGTACATATTTCCTGGAGCCCCTCCTTGGGTTCGTCTGAGAGTAACCCTCACTTATCCTGCATTTGCCAGCACCTGTCAAGCCTTGCTAAAATTAGCTGCAACTGGCAAGTGGGTCAGAGTACAGAGGGTGCCCTGTAAGAATGCCAGGTTCTCCTGCCAATGGTTAGTATGGTCACTCCCTAACACGATTGATCCCTTTCCCAAAATAGAGCAAAGATGGCCTCACCAGACCTCATGTGACAGGTCACTGACYACTCCACCCCTGGCTTAGAGCCTTGTTTGCTTTGGGGGCAGGCTCATGTCCGAGTTTGGAGTGGTGAGTCTTCTTCTGGACTGGTCAGGCCAAGGAACAGCTGCCCAGGGGTTCTGTCCTTCTCCTAAGCCAAGCCATAGTACAGGTGAGAAGGATCCAAATTCACCAACAGAGGGTATGGGCTAAGGGAGGGCCAAAGGCAAATGGGCCCTCTTTGTGGTTTGGCTGGATGGCTTGTACTTTGAGTAACAAGCATCCTTTATCAGAGCCATTTCCTGAGGATGACTTCCTTTTCTTTACTGGCACCTGTGAGGGCAGAAAAAGGTTTAGCACGCCCATTTCCTCACACTAGACAAGCCTCCAGGATCAGATTTTAGCACCCACGCCAATCTTCCTGTGCTGCCTCAGTGGGTGAGGAAACAGCATCAATGGGCYAGCACCTCACTGGAGTAAAGATCAGTGCGGCAAGGAGACATTTCTACACTCAAAGCATGGTGGAAGGACAAACCTGTCCAGAAAAGAGAGGCCAGGAAGAGAAGGGCTTCAGGGATGATGGCCCATGGGGATTCCCAGGACATACTTCAGTATCTGAAGGGCTGTCTGAGGAAGATGAACAAACTGTTTCTGTTTGGAACTTTCTTTAAAAACAAAACAAAACAGAGCTGTGCATTAATGAGCTAAGATGTTTACCATAGATAGTGAACTCTGAATTAATGAGGAGAGAAAGGGCAGGGCAGATTAGAAGGGACCCTACTCTATGTCCTAGTTGGTATGCCTGTATTTTGCTATTCAAGGAACTGACAGTCAGGACTTTTTCACTCATCTCAAGGATATAATATGACAAGTGCAGTGTGTTGGGTTGCTTTCCATTGATGTGACAAAGTACTTGAGATAAAYGCCTTAAAGGAGAAAGATTTATTTTGGCTCATGGTTTCAGAGGTCTCAGTCCATGGTTTTTTGGTCCTGATGCTTTGACCTGTGGCAGTATAGCACATCATGGCTGGTGTATATGGCATAGAAACGAAGCARAAAGGAAGGGTCCAGGGTATAAACATCCCCTTCAAGGCATGCCCCAGAGACCTAATTTTTTCCCCCTAGGCTCATCTCTTTTTTTAATAAGATTTCTTTTTTTGGTGATTCTGGGGATTGAACCTAGGGCCTTGTTCGTACAAGGCAAGCACTCTACCAACTGAGCTATATCCCCAGCCCTAGGCTCATCTCTTAAAGGTTCTACCCTTCCCAATAATGCCTTTAGGCTGGTGACTAAACTTTCAACACTTGGACTTTTGGGGAACATACAAGATCCAAACTATAACATTCAAAGATGGATATTCAAGATTATTCTTTCTAGAACCAAAAAATGGTACATGCCCTATGTATCTAACTACAGAGAGCTGGCTAAACAAATTACACACTTATATGCAGTCATTTAAAAAATGGTAAGGTTGGCTTGCCTCTGTTGGCATTGAAAGATGTCCATGACATCAAGTGATTCTCATTGAGATGCTTCTGAATTCTTGATCCACAGAAAACATGTAAGATAGTAAAGGTTTACTGTTGTTTTGCGGAACTAGGGATTGAATCCAGGGCCTCATTACAGGTGTTCACTACCATGCCTGGCCTAGATTTGTTTTTTGTTGTTGTTATTGTTGTTTGTTTGGTTGGTTTTTGTACTGGGAATTGAACCCAAGGATGCTTAACCACTGAGCTACATCCTCAGCCCTTTTTATGTTTTATTTTGAGACAAGTTCTCTCTAAGTTGCATAGGGCCTTACTAAGTTGCTGAGGMTGTCTTTGAAATTGCAATCCTCCCACCTCAGCCTCTTGAACTGCTGAGATTACAGGTGTGTACCTCTATGCTTAGGTCTATTGTTTTTTTTTTTAATATTTATTTTTTAGTTCTCGGCGGACACAACATCTTTGWTGGTATGTGGTGCTGAGGATCGAACCTGGGCCGCACGCATGCCAGGCGAGCGCGCTACYGCTTGAGCCACATCCCCAGCCCTAGGTCTATTGTTTGAAGCTACTAAATCTTGAGATAATTTGTCCTATAGCAACAGCAACAGATGACGGATACAGGGGAAAATAGTTAGAAAACATGATATGATCCATTTTTGTCATAGATATGTGTAGAAAATACAGATGATATAGATAATATGGGAGGAAATACAGCAAAATGGTTATAGCATTATTCTTGATGATGAAAATATTAGAGATTTTAATTTATTATCTTTTTTGTAATAGGCATTTTGTGTGTGTGTGTGTGTGTGTGTGTGTGTGTGTGTGTATGGGCGCGCATGCACATGCCCAATGCTAAGGATTAAACTCAGGGCCTCATTCATGCTAGAAAAGCTCTCTACCACTGAACTACATCCTCAGCCCTATTTTCATTTTTGCTTATCTGTTATTTACTCTATTTCCTGCAGTGATGTGTATTGATACAGTAATATTTTAAAATCAACTTTAAAAAACTGAAAGATTGAGCCTTATCTAATATTTTTGTGTAGAAGCTCCCAGGACCAGATTTTAAAGGATAGAGATTCAGTGTCACATTGACTAAATTGYAAGACCTCTTGTGCAAATAGGAAAGAAAATTGGGTTCAGGAAGCCAGGACTCCACAGTGCCAGCTCCTCCATTACCAGCCTGTTCCTAACTCCCCCCAGCACCATCTGGGCACCAAGCACAGGCACACTGATGCAATATACCTAGAGGTCAGCAAATATTGCAAGAGTTTGCTTATCACAGGGTAGATTTGAGATTGGCTAGGTCTTTGTGCTAAGAGCAGTCCAGGGGCCTGGTGAATGGGAGGGTGTTAAGCAGTGAATAGGGTTTAGAGCCAGGATATCAGGGACAGAGAGCAAGGGAGAGACTGAGAGACAGCTTAATATGCCAAGATCAGATGCCAAAGCTAATGGGTGCYCAGTGGACTCCACAGGCAAATTGCTATGTCAGCACCTTAATATGGATTACCACTGACTGTGTGCCATGGGGACACTGAGGTCAACAGGAGTTAATAGACTTGCTACAATGTACTAGCTATAAGAGGTTTGGTCAGATTTCACCCTCAGGTCATTCAGATTCCAGGATTGTTAAAGTTTAGTCTTTTTGAYTAGATGGTTAGCTCTTAAGGGCCAAGCACACTCTGGGGCTATGAAGTATTCTTCAGGGCTGCTTCCAAGCTGGAGATGTTTGAAGGCTTCAGCTTCAGCTGGCAGAGGGTGGGAACAGGGTAGCCACAGAGTCTCTCCCCTGCCTCAGCACTTGCCTCTGATAGCAAAGGGGGTAGAGGCCTGGAACTAAGACTAAAGGCCAGTKCTATGTAGAAGACAAAGACAGAGTCTGAGTGAGGGATGGGGGAAGTCCCTTATATTGGCTGGGGTGGGCCAAAATGGTGGGAGGATCACTCAGGACCCCATGCAGTGAAACATGACAATACCAGGTAACACAGGAAGTTGAAGTCCCCAGCTGGAGTCCAAAGATGCACTCTGCATTCACTGGCTCCTGGGCTTTGACAAGTCCTTTAGTGGTTCTAGGCCTCAGTTTTCTCCTCAGCAAAAGTGGGGATAACAAATCGCCTACTTTACAGGGCAACTGAGATGGTTCAATGGGATAATGCAGATAAGGSTCTTGACATAAGTTGTTCAATAGTTTGTAACTATTATTGCTACCAACAATAGATATTTCAACCGCTTGGTTAACTGGGGAGACACATGCTAAAGGCTTGGTTGCCAGCTTGTGATGCTATTAGGAGATGGTGTAAGTAACCTTTAGGAAGAGGGACCTGGTTGGGAGAAGTAGGTCATTGTGGGTGGCCCTTTGAAGGATTTATATTTTGTTCCTACTCCCTTCTTCTCCCTCTCTCCCCTTTTCTGTTTCTTGGTCACTGTGAGGTGAACAGCTTTGCTCTGCCACTTACTTCTTGTCATGATTTTCTGYTTCACCACAGGCCCAGTATCAACAAAGCCAAGTGACAATGGATTAAAACTATGAAATTGTGAGTCAAAATGAATCTTTTGACATTTAAATTGTTTTCTCAGATATTTTGTCATAGTGACAGAAAAACAATTAACACGATTCCAGTCGAGGGCACAAGCTATCCCAAGCTCTTGATCTATGGCAGGTCTAATGCCAAACTCTCTCCCACTACCTATTGATTATTTCWGAGGGTTCTAAGAAGACAGACCAGGTGGCACATTCTCTTTGGCGCTACTCCTACACTAAATCAATGAAACTTTTGTCTGAAAACAGAAGGACTATGAGGTTTTGTCATGGAAAATGGCAGAATAGAAAGTTCCAGGGATGGTCCCTCCACCTAACTAACCATTAAGTTAGCAAAATCCCTCTAAGCATCAACTATTTCATAATTCTGCAACCTGACTGGACCCTAACAGCAATTATAGGAATGCCTGATGGAGGTAGGGGGAGGGCTACTAACAGTTTGTAAGCGAGCATCACRGAAAAACTAGCAACTATTCACAGCTCCTCAGTCCTCCTATGGTGATGGCAACAATGTTCATGTTTCCAGAGCAGCTGAGTAGAGCAAGAGAATGCAGAAAGGACCTAGGCTTCTAGAAATTTGAGGTTGGGAATATTGTTGATCTAGTGGGTCCCTGAGGGCCTAGAGTAGAGCTTTCCTTTGCTTCTGCCCCTTCAGGCTGCTGTAGCTTCCCTGGTGGCATCTATAAGAATATTTAAAGATATATACATGCTGGGTTTTATATGTAAATATAAATAATATATATATGCATATATATACATATAGTGTGTGTGGACACATGGGTACATGCACACAGGCACCCAACAAGCAACAAGGGAGAGGGAGAATCTGACTTCCAGAGTCATCATATTGTACTACTCAAAATGGCCAGTTCTTTTCTTTGGGTATCAGGGCACTCAGCTACTGAGCCCATCCCCAGCCCTATTTTGTATTTTATTTAGAGACTGAATTGCTTAATGCCTCGCTTTTGTTGAGACTGGCTTTGAACTTGTGACCTTCCTCCCTCAGACTCCCAAGCTGCTGGGAATATAGGCATGTGCCACCATGCCCTGCAAAATGGCCAGTTCTTAACAAAATATTACAAGGCATACAAAGAAACAGGAAAATATGTCCCAATCATAAGCAAAAGAGAGAGAGAGAGAGAGAGAGAGAGAGAGAGAGAGAGAGAGAGAGAGAGAGAGA